AACACACACAGACAGAAACACACACAAACACACACAGACACACACACATACACTATACATACAACACACACATATACATTATACATACAACACACACAGACAGACGCACACACATACATTATGCATACAACACACACACATTAGACACACACAGACACACACACACACACATATACATCAATACATACAACACACACACATACATTATACATACAACACACACACACATACATTATACATACAACACACACACATACACGCACACACACACACAAACACACACACACACACACACACACAAACACATACATATACACACACACACACACATACATATACATACATGTATGCACACACATACATATACATACAACACACACACATACACACACACACACACACACACAAACACATACATACACACACACACACACACACACACACACATACATATACATACAACACACACACACATACACACACACACACACACACACACACACACACACACACACACACACACATACATACATACACACACACATTATGCATACAACACACACACATACACACATACACACACACACACATACACACACACACACACACACACACACACAGGCCCTGTCTCTCTCTGACCCTACACCTCTCACACACTTGTTTTTAAATAGTTTTTCTTCATAATAAATACATGTAAAGCTGCCACAGTAAGATTTGCAGGAGGAGAATAGTCCGACCAATGGGGAGGGGCTCCAGGCGTCTGTGTCCAATCAGGCAAGGCAAGGCAAGGCAAGTTTATTTGTATAGCACAATTCATACACAAGGCAACTCAAAGTGCTGAACAAGATGCATTAAAATCATAAATAATTACAGAACATTAAAACGAAAGATAAAAATATAAAATCCCTCAGTTGTATGCACAGCTAAACAGCACCGTTTTTAACCTGGTTTTAAACATTGTCAGAGAGGAGGCCTGTCTCACATCTTCAGGAAGATTGTTCCAGATTTTAGCAGCATGAATCTGAAAAGCAGCCTCCCCATGTTTAGTTCTGACTCTGGGCACTAACAGGAGTCCAGTCCCTGTGCTCCTCAGAGTCCCAGCAGGAGTCCAGTCCCTGTGCTCCTCAGAGTCCCAGCAGGAGTCCAGTCCCTGTGCTCCTCAGAGTCCGGGCTGGTTCATATGGGACTAACATGTCACTAATATATTTTGGTGCGAGGCCATGGAGAGACTTGTACACAAGCAAAGCTGTTTTAAAGTCTATTCTCTGAGCCACAGGAAGCCAGTGCAGAGACCTGAGGACTGGACTAATGTGGTCGTACTTCCTGGTTCTAGTCAGGACTCGAGCTGCTGCATTTTGAATGTACTGCAGCTGTTTTACAGCCTGTTTGGACAGACCTGTGAGCAGGCCATTGCAGTAGTCTAACCTACTGGAGACAAATGCATGGATAAGAATCTCCAGGTCTGCTTTAGACACTATGTTTTTGATCCTGGCAATGTTTTTTAGATGGTAAAAAGCAGCTGATGTTACTGATTTTATGTGGCTATTAAAATTTAAGTCTGAGTCCAGTATTACCCCTAGATTTCTGACCTTGTTTGAAGGTTTTAGGGAGAGAGACTGTAGATGACAGATGACGCTCTCTCTTTGTTTCTAGGGACCAAAGACAATCATTTCAGTTTTGTCTGCGTTTAGCTGAAGGAAGTTGTTTTGCATCCACTCACTGATCTGTTGGATACAGTGAAGGAGTGAGTCCACTGGTCCATGTTCTCCTGCAGTCAGTGAGACATAGATCTGAGTGTCGTCTGCATAGTTATGATAGGAAACTTCGTTTCTGCGTATTAACTGACCTAACGGCAGCATGTAGAGATTGAACAGAAGAGGTCCCAGGATCGACCCCTGTGGGACTCCACAGGTCAGGGCCATATGATCTGAGACACAGTTTCCAATCTCCACAAAGTACTTCCTGTCTTCAAGGTAAGACCTAAACCAACTTAGGGCGGTGCCAGCGACTCCAACCCAGTTCTCTAATCTCTGTAAGAGGATCTCATGGTCGACAGTGTCAAAGGCAGCACTTAGATCTAACAGGATTAGGATTGAAACTTTGCCTGCGTCAGTGTTCAGCCGGATATCATTTGTAACCTTGACGAGAGCAGTCTCAGTGCTGTGGTGGGGTCTAAAGCCGGACTGAAACATATCAAATGAGTTGTTGACTATAAGAAATCTAGTAAGCTGTAGGTAGACAACTTTTTCAAGGACTTTCCCCATAAATGGCAGATTTGAGATGGGACGATAGTTGTTAAGTACCGTAGCATCGAGACTGCTCTTTTTTAGCAGGGGCCTGATGACTGCAGTTTTCAGGGCCTTTGGGAATATTCCAGAATCAAGGGACATGTTTACTATCTGTGTGAGTGAAGGTAACAGACTGCTCAGAACAGACTTTAGAAATATAGTGGGTAGTACATCCAGGCTGCATGTGGAGGAGCTCAAACTGGAGATTATCTCTTGGACAGTTTGATCATTTACAGGTGCAAAGTAAGTTAGCTCAAAGAGCCTTTCTGGCTGTTGGATTGTTATCTGTGGATTGGAGACAATGGCGTTTTTGATGCCTTGAACCTTGTCATTGAAAAAATTAGCAAACTCATTACATTTACGTTTGGAAGTTAGCTCTAATGGCATTTGAACAGGGGGGTTTGTTAATCTATTAACTGTTGAGAACAGAACACGCAGATTGTTGCTGCAGCCTTCAATCCTTTCAGAAAAATACCTTTCTCTCGTACTACGTAGCACCAGGTTAAACTCGCACAACTTATCTTTGAAGATCTTGTAATCAACCTGGAGGTTGGACTTGCGCCACTTCCGCTCGGCCCTCCGGCACTTTCTCTTTTGTGCCCTGACCGAGTCTGCTTTAGCCCACGGCGCCTTCTGCTTATTTTTCACTATTTTAACCTTCACAGGAGCGATGGTGTCCAGAACTTTCAAAACACTAGAGGTGACAGAGTTAAACAGTTCATCTACAGTAGAATACGATGCATTCTCAAAGTTTATCATTCCCCATAAATAGTTCACCCGTATTTTCATTTATGTGTCTTCTTCGTACAGTTGCAGAGTCCACTGGTGGTTTGTTAGTGAAACACATGTCAAAAAATATACAAAAATGATCCGAAAGCGCAACATCGACCACGTTTACATTATGAATGTTCGCCCCCTTTGTAACTAACAGGTCTAGAGTGTGCCCTCTGCTGTGGGTGGGGCCACTCACATGCTGAGTGAGACCAAAAGATTCAAGAAGAGAACTCAGCTCATTTGCATTTCTGTCATCAACATTATCCACATGAATATTAAAATCACCTGTAATAACTAAACTATCAAAATCTGTGCATACAACTGAAAGCAAATCTGTAAAATTATCAATAAAACTGTGACATGACTGCGGTGGCTTGTATAGGACAACGAAAAGTATTGGAGGAGATTGTTTTTGTTGTATTTTAAAAGGCACATATTCAAAAGACGGAAACTTCCCAAGAGACATTCTATGGGAGACAAAGTGGTCTCTAAAAATGGCAGCTAAGCCTCCTCCTTTTTTGTTTTCCCGTATTTCAGATTCAAATTTGAAATTTGGTGGTGATGCTTCTATTAAAACTGCATTTTCTGTATTTTGGTCAAGCCATGTTTCAGCCATGAACATAAGATAAAGATTATAAGAACAAATAAAATTATTGATTAAAAAAGACTTGTTACAAAGAGATCTGACATTTAGCATAGCAAGTTTCAAAGTTTCAGTATCAGCGGTTGTGGTCGGCTGATTCTTACACGGAACAAGAATTAGATTTTCCTGATTAGACTGATTAACTTCAGATGTTTTTCTGTTATGTATTCTTTGTGTTATCACTAAGGGAATGGCACAGGTGGCTTCATGACAGGGCCCCAGCCGGGTCTCTCCTCTAACTAGACTGCCAGTGGCTGCGAAGCAGAGACCCTGTGCATCCTAGTGTTTAGAGAAAAGAGGGGTAGGGGAAGGCGGGGGAGGAGGATGGAGAGGCAGGTGGTTCTTGGGAGTTGGACGGGGAGTGGTTGAAGGTGGATGGGTTTTTGGTGATGGGTTAGGGGAGGGGCAGGCTGAGTTGGGTGGTGGACGAGGGGGGAGTGGAGGTGGAGGGTTTCTTGGTGCTGAGTTAGGGGGGAGGTGGGCTAAATGAGCAGGAGGGGGGGGGTGGAATACTTATGGGGTTAGAGGAGGGACGGGTGGATTTTGTGGGAGAATTTGAGTTGGACGCCCTAGGTGGCTTTGGAGGTACGTATGGGGAGTAGTTTTGAATGTTAGATAGGACTCTTGATCTGGCTACAGTGGGTGTGAGAGGAATAGTCTTCATCGCCGATCTTATCATGCCTGCCGAGTGTTCCGGTAAATCCAGTAGTGAAGGTGGGGATAGAAAACAAAGGGAAAGGTCGTCCTCATTTTCCCTAGATGGTGTGGATGTAGCGGGGGGGACCCAAGCCGGGTCCATGGAAGGTGATGAGGGTCTTTGGTGGAGACGGAGGTGGTTGAGGAGCCCCCAGTACAGGCCTGACTGTAGCCTGGAGTAATGGGGGAAGCTTCACGGGAGCTGTAGGTGGGAAAGGTGCTGCTGAAGATGATGGAGCAGCCACTGCTGCTGCTGTACCTGCTGAACCTGTAGGGGCGGGACTAACTGCCGCCTGCGTCTCTCTATCTTCATAATTTGAAAAGTAAAATAATAACGTGTTTCCATCATTGTCCATAAAAGTCATTTTGAATAACATCTAAAAAATCATTGCTTGTTGCTCACTAGCGCATTAGCATTAGCCTCTACCCCCAGTTTATTTGTGGCCTTTAAAGTAAACTTTTTAAAATGTGCTTATTTAAATCTGCATCAGCTGAAAATAACTTTTTCCCAAATCCTGTCAACTGCAATCCTCAAGACAATATTCCAGTTTTTGAATAAAAGACAAAATAACAGATATAATAAAATCTTTTGGGGAGTTTCAGGGCTTCTTGACTGTTGCATACAGACATTCTTCAGGCGGTGGTCGGGGACGGGCTGAGGCGGACACTAGGACCTGGGAGTAGACGGCCTCCTCTGGGTCTTCCCGGTGGGGGGGGGCTCTGGCAGGTCTTTTGGACTTTGAGAACGTGACTTCTCCATAATGGATGTGGTCTTCCTCTCTCTGAACCTCCTCTGACTGTGGAGCGAGAGAGACCAGTGTGAGAACTGAATTTATATAATCGGGTCAATCCAACTATTAACATATTTAATGGTCATGAATCACTTTGATGATATAATTAGCTCTTTAATCACATATTCTTCCTTGTTCTAAATGTAACTAATGTCTAATTGTTTTGAAATGGATTGGATGAAGAAAAACACTTGTATTATACTATTAGACTTGGAATGTCCAAAACTGACTTCTCAGTGAAGGAGCAAGAGAGAGACCAGAGAGAGAGACCAGTGAAGGAGAAGGAGAGAGAGACCAGTGAGGGAGCAAGAGAGAGACCAGAGAGAGAGACCAGTGAAAGAGAAGGAGAGAGAGACCAGTGAGGGAGCAAGAGAGAGACCAGAGAGAGAGACCAGTGAAGGAGAAGGAGAGAGAGACCAGTGAGGGAGCAAGAGAGAGACCAGAGAGAGAGACCAGTGAAGGAGAAGGAGAGAGAGAGACCAGTCAGGGAGAAGGGGAGAGAGAGAGACCAGAGAGAGATACCAGTGAAGGAGAAGGAGAGAGAGACCAGTGAAGGAGCAAGAGAGAGACCAGTGAAGGAGAAGGAGAGAGAGACCAGTGAGGAGCAAGAGAGAGACCAGAGAGAGAGACCAGTGAAGGAGAAGGAGAGAGAGAGACCAGTCAGGGAGAAGGGGAGAGAGAGACCAGTGAAGGAGCAAGAGAGAGATCAGAGAGAGAGACCAGTGAAGGAGAAGGAGAGAGAGACCAGTGAGGGAGCAAGAGAGAGACCAGAGAGAGAGACCAGTGAAGGAGAAGGAGAGAGAGACCAGTGAGGGAGCAAGAGAGAGACCAGAGAGAGAGACCAGTGAAGGAGAAGGAGAGAGAGAGACCAGTCAGGGAGAAGGGGAGAGAGAGACCAGTGAAGGCGCAAGAGAGAGACCAGTGAAGGAGCAAGAGAGAGACCAGTGAAGGAGAAGGAGAGAGAGACCAGTGAGGGAGCAAGAGAGAGACCAGAGAGAGAGACCAGTGAAGGAGAAGGAGAGAGAGAGACCAGTGAGGAGCAAGAGAGAGACCAGAGAGAGAGACCAGTGAAGGAGAAGGAGAGAGAGAGACCAGTCAGGGAGAAGGGGAGAGAGAGACCAGTGAAGGAGCAAGAGAGAGACCAGTGAAGGAGAAGGAGAGAGATACCAGTGAGGAGCAAGAGAGAGACCAGTGAAGGAGAAGGAGAGAGAGACCAGTGAGGAGCAAGAGAGAGACCAGAGAGAGAGACCAGTGAAGGAGAAGGAGAGAGAGAGACCAGCGAGGGAGCAAGAGAGAGACGAGAGAGAGAGACCAGTGAAGGAGAAGGAGAGAGAGAGACCAGTGAGGGAGCAAGAGAGAGACCAGAGAGAGAGACCAGTGAAGGAGAAGGGGAGAGAGAGACCAGTCAGGGAGAAGGGGAGAGAGAGACCAGTGAAGGAGCAAGAGAGAGACCAGTGAAGGAGAAGGAGAGAGAGACCAGTGAGGAGCAAGAGAGAGACCAGAGAGAGAGACCAGTGAAGGAGAAGGGGAGAGAGAGACCAGTGAGGGAGCAAGAGAGAGACCAGAGAGAGATACCAGTGAAGGAGAAGGGGGGGAGAGAGACCAGTGAGGGAGCAAGAGAGAGACCAGAGAGAGAGAGTCCAGAGAAGGAGCAAGAGAGAGACCAGTGAGGGAGCAAGAGAGAGACCAGAGAGAGAGACCAGTGAAGGAGAAGGAGAGAGAGAGACCAGTCAGGGAGAAGGGGAGAGAGAGACCAGTGAAGGAGCAAGAGAGAGACCAGTGAAGGAGAAGGAGAGAGAGACCAGTCAGGGAGAAGGGGAGAGAGAGACCAGTGAAGGAGCAAGAGAGAGACCAGTGAAGGAGCAAGAGAGAGACCAGTGAAGGAGAAGGAGAGAGAGACCAGTGAGGGAGCAAGAGAGAGACCAGAGAGAGAGACCAGTGAAGGAGAAGGAGAGAGAGAGACCAGTGAGGGAGCAAGAGAGAGACCAGAGAGAGAGACCAGTGAAGGAGAAGGAGAGAGAGAGACCAGTGAGGGAGCAAGAGAGAGACCAGAGAGAGAGACCAGTGAAGGAGAAGGAGAGAGACCAGTGAAGGAGAAGGAGAGAGAGACCAGTGAGGGAGCAAGAGAGAGACCAGAGAGAGAGACCAGTGAGGGAGCAAGAGAGAGACCAGAGAGAGAGACCAGTGAAGGAGAGAGACCAGTGAGGGAGCAAGAGAGAGACCAGAGAGAGAGACCAGTGAAGGAGCAAGAGAGAGACCAGAGAGAGAGAGTCCAGAGAAGGAGCAAGAGAGAGACCAGTGAAGGAGCAAGAGAGAGACCAGAGAAGGAGAAAGAGAGAGACCAGTGAAGGAGAAGGAGAGAGAGACCAGTGAGGGAGCAAGAGAGAGACCAGTGAAGGAGAGAGAGAGAGACCAGAGAGAGAGACCAGTGAAGGAGCAAGAGAGAGACCAGAGAGAGTAAGTAAGTTAGTAAGGAGAGAACAGAGACTAGACTGTTTCTGACGTTAGGTTAAGTCTAGTCTAGTCTAGTCTAGTCTAGTCTAGTCTAGTCTAGTCTAGTCTAGCTTTCACTTTCCCTGCCCTACTTTTCCTGGTTGTGTTTCTATCGCGCTTTAGTATCTGGTACCGTATCCTAGCAACCAACAAACCAGTATCCATGGTATTTCCTTGGTAACCATGGCTTCCAGCAGCACTCCGACCAATCACTGTCAGCTCGGCCTGGATAGAACCAGGACCAAGAGGGACTAAAGAAGGACCTGGTTCTGGTCACACAGGACCAGAGGAAACAGGACATAAAGAAGATGATGTCGTACCTCTGGCTTCTTTGTGGATCGTTTTTTTGACACGCAACACCTGGAAAATATAACACACAAAACGACAGATGTGATAAACGTAAAACAAGATTATTTACTTTGGAATTGTATGATTTAAAATGATTTAAAGTAGATAAGTACGGATAAGTACGACAGAATGAGTGAGAAGTTAGTGTCAGAGTTGTTTGACCAGGATCATAGCCACAGTTTGGCACTTTACAGCCGCCCCACTGTGGCACCTGGTGTTCCCGGAGGTCTCCCATCACTGTACTGACCAGACCCTACCCTGCTTAGCCTCAGAGGTCTGACAGGATCTGGCTTTCACCTGCAGAATACAGAAGAAAGAACCATGCTCACCAAATGGTAACCACGACACATGTGAGAACCAGGAAACAGACTCCGCCTCCAATAATGGGTTCCCACGGCCACCAAGACTTGTCCTCTGGCTCTGCGTTAAAAAGAAATCAGAATCGTCTTACATAAACAAACATCCATTTTAAGACCAAAAATCTAATATCACCAAGTATTTGAGAGTGTCAAAGTTGTCTGGGCGGGTTCAATGCTAAAGTATACACTGTATACAGATGGACAATGCTAACACAGACTGTATACAGATGCTACACAGAGATGGACAATGCTAACCGGCTAGCTCAATGTAGCATCTCTCTCCGGCTACATCGACTCACATGTAAAAGTAAACTCCTGTTGCTCAGAATCAGTTTGTGTCACACTCACTGTTTTGGGATAAAATAATCTGTGGTTTATGGTTCTCTGTGATGCTGGTGTTTGTTACTGAAGCTAAGGCCGAGGTTCAGACTGTAGACTCCGATGCCCCGCCCTGCGTCAAGCTTTCAAATCGTTCAGTAACCCTCCTCCTCCCCGTCAGCCAGACCGGCCCTTCGACCCTCTCTTAGCTCCCACTGCACAGATTACTTACCGACAATAAACACAGAGACGAGAGAGACATCAGAGACCAGAGAAGAGACCAGCGAGAGAGAGCACAGAGAGACCAGAAAACCAGCAAGAGAGAAAGACCAGAAAAAGAGACCAGAGAAGGAGCAAGAAAGCGGGACGAAGTCAGAGAGAGACAAAGAGCAGACAGAGAGAGAGACTAGAGCAGGAGCGAGAGAAGAGACGAGACAGGAGCGAGAGAGAGAAGAGCAGAGCGAGAGAGAGACTAGAGCAGGAGCGAGAGAGAGACTAGAGCAGGAGCGAGAGAGAGAGACTAGAGCAGGAGCGAGAGAGAGACTAGAGCAGAGCGAGAGAGAGACTAGAGCAGGAGCGAGAGAGAGAGACTAGAGCAGGAGCGAGAGAGAGAGACTAGAGCAGGAGCGAGAGAGAGAGCTAGAGAGGAGCGAGAGAGAGACTAGAGCAGGAGCGAGAGAGAGAGACTAGAGCAGGAGCGAGAGAGAGACTAGAGCAGGAGCGAGAGAGAGACTAGAGCAGGAGCGAGAGAGAGACTAGAGCAGGAGCGAGAGAGAGAGACTAGAGCAGGAGCGAGAGAGAGACTAGAGCAGGAGCGAGAGAGAGACTAGAGCAGGAGCGAGAGAGAGAGACTAGAGCAGGAGCGAGAGAGAGACTAGAGCAGGAGCGAGAGAGAGACTAGAGCAGGAGCGAGAGAGAGACTAGAGCAGGAGCGAGAGAGAGACTAGAGCAGGAGCGAGAGAGAGACTAGAGCAGGAGGAGAGAGAGACTAGAGCAGGAGCGAGAGAGAGACTAGAGCAGGAGCGAGAGAGAGACTAGAGCAGGAGCGAGAGAGAGACTAGAGCAGGAGCGAGAGAGAGACTAGAGCAGGAGCGAGAGAGAGACTAGAGCAGGAGCGAGAGAGAGAGACTAGAGAGCAGGAGCGAGAGAGAGACTAGAGCAGGAGCGAGAGAGAGAGACTAGAGCAGGAGCGAGAGAGAGACTAGAGCAGGAGCGAGAGAGAGACTAGAGCAGGAGCGAGAGAGAGACTAGAGCAGGAGCGAGAGAGAGACTAGAGCAGGAGCGAGAGAGAGACTAGAGCAGGAGCGAGAGAGAGAGACTAGAGCAGGAGCGAGAGAGAGACTAGAGCAGGAGCGAGAGAGAGACTAGAGCAGGAGCGAGAGAGAGACTAGAGCAGGAGCGAGAGAGAGACTAGAGCAGAGAGAGAGACTAGAGCAGGAGCGAGAGAGAGACTAGAGCAGGAGCGAGAGAGAGACTAGAGCAGGAGCGAGAGAGAGACTAGAGCAGGAGCGAGAGAGAGACTAGAGCAGGAGCGAGAGAGAGACTAGAGCAGGAGCGAGAGAGAGACTAGAGCAGGAGCGAGAGAGAGACTAGAGCAGGAGCGAGAGAGAGACTAGAGAGCAGGAGCGAGAGAGAGACTAGAGCAGGAGCGAGAGAGAGACTAGAGCAGGAGCGAGAGAGAGACTAGAGCAGGAGCGAGAGAGAGACTAGAGCAGGAGCGAGAGAGAGACTAGAGCAGGAGCGAGAGAGAGACTAGAGCAGGAGCGAGAGAGAGACTAGAGCAGGAGCGAGAGAGAGACTAGAGCAGGAGCGAGAGAGAGACTAGAGCAGGAGCGAGAGAGAGACTAGAGCAGGAGCGAGAGAGAGACTAGAGCAGGAGCGAGAGAGAGACTAGAGCAGGAGCGAGAGAGAGACTAGAGCAGGAGCGAGAGAGAGACTAGAGCAGGAGCGAGAGAGAGACTAGAGCAGGAGCGAGAGAGAGACTAGAGCAGGAGCGAGAGAGAGAGACTAGAGCAGGAGCGAGAGAGAGACTAGAGCAGGAGGAGAGAGAGAGACTAGAGCAGGAGCGAGAGAGAGACTAGAGCAGGAGCAGAGAGAGAGACTAGAGCAGGAGCGAGAGAGAGACTAGAGCAGGAGCGAGAGAGAGACTAGAGCAGGAGCGAGAGAGAGACTAGAGCAGGAGGAGCGAGAGAGAGACTAGAGCAGGAGCGAGAGAGAGACTAGAGCAGGAGCGAGAGAGAGACTAGAGCAGGAGCGAGAGAGAGACTAGAGCAGGAGCGAGAGAGAGACTAGAGCAGGAGCGAGAGAGAGACTAGAGCAGGAGCGAGAGAGAGACTAGAGCAGGAGCGAGAGAGAGACTAGAGCAGGAGCGAGAGAGAGACTAGAGCAGGAGCGAGAGAGAGACTAGAGCAGGAGCGAGAGAGAGACTAGAGCAGGAGCGAGAGAGAGACTAGAGCAGGAGCGAGAGAGAGACTAGAGCAGGAGCGAGAGAGAGACTAGAGCAGGCAGCGAGAGAGAGACTAGAGCAGGAGCGAGAGAGAGACTAGAGCAGGAGCGAGAGAGAGAGACTAGAGCAGGAGCGAGAGAGAGACTAGAGCAGGAGCGAGAGAGAGAGCAGGAGCGAGAGAGAGCTAGAGCAGGAGCGAGAGAGAGACTAGAGCAGGAGCGAGAGAGAGACTAGAGCAGGAGCGAGAGAGAGAGACTAGAGCAGGAGCGAGAGAGAGACTAGAGCAGGAGCGAGAGAGAGACTAGAGCAGGAGCGAGAGAGAGACTAGAGCAGGAGCGAGAGAGAGAGACTAGAGCAGGAGCGAGAGAGAGACTAGAGCAGGAGCGAGAGAGAGACTAGAGCAGGAGCGAGAGAGAGACTAGAGCAGGAGCGAGAGAGAGACTAGAGCAGGAGCGAGAGAGAGACTAGAGCAGGAGCGAGAGAGAGACTAGAGCAGGAGCGAGAGAGAGACTAGAGCAGGAGCGAGAGAGAGAGACTAGAGCAGGAGCGAGAGAGAGACTAGAGCAGGAGCGAGAGAGAGACTAGAGCAGGAGCGAGAGAGAGACTAGAGCAGGAGCGAGAGAGAGACTAGAGCAGGAGCGAGAGAGAGACTAGAGCAGGAGCGAGAGAGAGACTAGAGCAGGAGCGAGAGAGAGACTAGAGCAGGAGCGAGAGAGAGACTAGAGCAGGAGCGAGAGAGAGACTAGAGCAGGAGCGAGAGAGAGACTAGAGCAGGAGCGAGAGAGAGACTAGAGCAGGAGCGAGAGAGAGACTAGAGCAGGAGCGAGAGAGAGACTAGAGCAGGAGCGAGAGAGAGACTAGAGCAGGAGCGAGAGAGAGACTAGAGCAGGAGCGAGAGAGAGACTAGAGCAGGAGCGAGAGAGAGACTAGAGCAGGAGCGAGAGAGAGACTAGAGCAGGAGCGAGAGAGAGACTAGAGCAGGAGCGAGAGAGAGACTAGAGCAGGAGCGAGAGAGAGACTAGAGCAGGAGCGAGAGAGAGACTAGAGCAGGAGCGAGAGAGAGACTAGAGCAGCGAGAGAGAGACTAGAGCAGGAGCGAGAGAGAGACTAGAGCAGGAGCGAGAGAGAGACTAGAGCAGGAGCGAGAGAGAGACTAGAGCAGGAGCGAGAGAGAGACTAGAGCAGGAGCGAGAGAGAGACTAGAGCAGGAGCGAGAGAGAGACTAGAGCAGGAGCGAGAGAGAGACTAGAGCAGGAGCGAGAGAGAGACTAGAGCAGGAGCGAGAGAGAGACTAGAGCAGGAGCGAGAGAGAGACTAGAGCAGGAGCGAGAGAGAGAGACTAGAGCAGGAGCGAGAGAGAGACTAGAGCAGGAGCGAGAGAGAGACTAGAGCAGGAGCGAGAGAGAGACTAGAGCAGGAGCGAGAGAGAGAGACTAGAGCAGGAGCGAGAGAGAGACTAGAGCAGGAGCGAGAGAGAGACTAGAGCAGGAGCGAGAGAGAGACTAGAGCAGGAGCGAGAGAGAGACTAGAGCAGGAGCGAGAGAGAGACTAGAGCAGGAGCGAGAGAGAGACTAGAGCAGGAGCGAGAGAGAGACTAGAGCAGGAGCGAGAGAGAGACTAGAGCAGGAGCGAGAGAGAGACTAGAGCAGGAGCGAGAGAGAGACTAGAGCAGGAGCGAGAGAGAGACTAGAGCAGGAGCGAGAGAGAGACTAGAGCAGGAGCGAGAGAGAGAGACTAGAGCAGGAGCGAGAGAGAGACTAGAGCAGGAGCGAGAGAGAGACTAGAGCAGGAGCGAGAGAGAGACTAGAGCAGGAGCGAGAGAGAGACTAGAGCAGGAGCGAGAGAGAGACTAGAGCAGGAGCGAGAGAGAGACTAGAGCAGGAGCGAGAGAGAGACTAGAGCAGGAGCGAGAGAGAGAGACTAGAGCAGGAGCGAGAGAGAGACTAGAGCAGGAGCGAGAGAGAGACTAGAGCAGAGGAGAGAGGAGAGAGACTAGAGCAGGAGCGAGAGAGAGACTAGAGCAGGAGCGAGAGAGAGACTAGAGCAGGAGCAGAGAGAGAGAGAGCTAGAGCAGAGCGAGAGAGAGACTAGAGCAGGAGCGAGAGAGAGACTAGAGCAGGAGCGAGAGAGAGACTAGAGCAGGAGCGAGAGAGAGACTAGAGCAGGAGCGAGAGAGAGACTAGAGCAGGAGCGAGAGAGAGACTAGAGCAGGAGCGAGAGAGAGACTAGAGCAGGAGCGAGAGAGAGACTAGAGCAGGAGCGAGAGAGAGACTAGAGCAGGAGCGAGAGAGAGACTA